CGCTTGCCAAGTGGAGTGATCTAAAATCCTCATCAATATACATAAAAACTAGATGAGAGTAAAGTCATTTTAAAAATAAAAATATTCTATTATGTGGATATAAGTTGTGGTACTTCGAGAGCCCAAGTTGAGAACTTTTCAATAAGTTGGCTTCAAAGTAGGTAACTATTTTAAGTTCTTTCCTCTAGGTTTTATGTGAAATCCATATGGAGGTTAGGTCGAGTCATACATGTATAAAGTGACCAACAGAGTAAAGTAGAAAGTCAAGGGGTAAAATCCTTAATTGATTATTGGAAAAGTGCATAGTATTTAGAGGGTAGTTGACAGATTAATCTCATATGAGACTTAGATATGTATGTTAAGTTCATAGTAGGCTCATACCCAAGTTGTTCTATCTTGACAATAGTACTAGAATTTCTTAGTTTAAGTCGTAAAATTTGAGAAATTAGTTTAAGTTGTTTACCTGCACTCTGAGAGGCCTAACATTGTCTATGCTTGACTTGGTTGTAATAGGTCAGACATTGTGGTTCAATAAGGTCTAGCTACTTATATTGCTGACCTTTGTTGTAAGAGATCTCCATAATTGATATGTGTGGCAACACATTAATTGTTTAAAGGTGTTTATGATGATAACATTGTTGTGTTGTAAGTTGCTACGTTGTTTATACGATGATGTTGTTCATAAGTTGAAAGTTGCCAAGTCGTGTTGCATTGAATGTTGATTATGTTGCCTATAGTGTATTGTTATAATCTTATGTTATTGAATGTTATGTTGATTCTTTTACAAACTTACTCTTTCTTTTCCTTGTAATTGGAATCGCAATAATCATATTTGGTATGAGAATATGATAGGATTAATATGATAACTTGGTTAGCTAGTGGAGGGTCATGTTGGTGGAGACTCAATTTTGGTGATGCTACTCTAATGTAGCATGCTTGGTGTATGGAGCTTGGCTAGACATTAGGGATATTTTGTATGCAACTGTGTAGTTTATGTAGATTGTAAATATGTATAAGGTATACATGTAACTCCATAGGAGGATTTATGTTTTCGGTCATATATGTAGGAACCTTTTTATGTTTTTTGCCTCTATACATGTATTGAATTGCATGAATGACTAGGAGTTGTTGTATGATAACCCTAGGGTAGTTGAATACAATTAGTATTTTCGTTGCATAGTAATTGTGTTATACTAATTAAATGTAGTGATCTAACAGGCCATTACATGTTTTGAGGCATGTTTTTTATGTTTAGGTGTGTTTCAATGCATGAGATTTGTGCTACTACACAATCCTTGTATAGTTGATACTTTATATGGATACATCTTGAACTCTATTGTGTATGATTTAATATTGATTTTGTTTTATTGTTAAATAAAAAAAAAGGTATCGCCTTGAATTATTCAAGCTTAAAAACATGTTATATTATATAAACAAGTTATGCTCTTAGAGCTTTCTCAGGTTTGTCATGAGTCTTTATTTCCATCATCTTTACCACAAAAGGAATAGAATAACAGACTCTCTTGCTAAAATTGAAAATACCTTGTCTGACACTTTAGTCATATGGCTTTATTGTCCTACTCATATGTCTTCATTGTTATTTGGAGTATGATGGAGACTTTTTATTTAAAAGACAATTAGTTTTTTTTTTGTTATTTCTATTTTCTCACTAATAAAATAAAGAAGAAGTTAGATTCAATTTTTATAAGATCTAACATATTTACTTTCACTATTTATCTAAGTTAAATTATTAAAAAGTTAAGATTTCAAATAAGCTTGTAAGGTAGGCTAGATCAAACTTTAATGTATGTTAAACCAAATATTTTAAAAAATACATACCATAAGTAAATAAACTAAACTTAGGTTATGTATTTTCATTCAATGCTAGATTTAGGTCTACTAAAGTTAAATTTAACCTAGTTTATTTCCACCTCTACTTAACATGGTTTCTAATATTGATTTTACCATCAATTTAGTAAATATTAAAATTTAAAGTCAATGAATCATAAGTTTAATCTTTGAAAATGTTTGACAAACAAGGTTAACATAGTTGATAGATAATTTTATCTCTTAAACACGTGATTATATTAAAAAAAATTGTTTAGAAATCAATTTCTTAAATAATTCTTAACACCTCGTGGATTAACATGTAACTTCTAAAGGATATTTTGATTTTATTTTATTTTAAAAAATAATTATAAAAGAAAAACCCTTACAAGAGAGGCTTGGAGTCGAATGGATATCATATATTCATCTTGATTCTTGAGGCTATTGTTTTTAGGATAGGATGAGAATATCATTTGTGCGAAGATGAAATTTTAGAGTTGCATGTGAAAGGAGTTGCTCTAATAATGGAAGAGCAAGTCTTTGAGAATAACAACATAATGCTTACGGAACTCCAATTGCTTGATATCAAAGTTTGCAAAATTAATGCGTGTGCATAAGTGTTCAGAATTCTCCAAGGGACCAATGACACGTGTTTTGGTTCACACATAATACGAATGGAGTCAAAACTGGCGGAAATAAAATTCATTAAAGTTCACAATTTAATAATTTTCTAAATTGTCGAGTCAATATAAATATATTATTTAGTATATGAAATTAACAAAACGTGAACTTAATTATTATACATGAGAAGTTTAAATTAAGCGGAAGTTAACTGTTGTAAATTAAATAAAAAAGAGTAATTTTTTTCATTTATGAGAATAACTAATTGATATGTGCATAATGTTTTTGGATAAGGCAGTTCGTATATATATATTTTTAGTTTATTTTGTGATAGGAATAGGGATGGCAAATATACCCGTACCCGCGGGTAATACTCGAACCCGTCCCGACTTTGACGGGGAATACCCGGTTTGACCGGGTACGGGTACGGGTACGGGTAAAACCCGATATATTAAATCGGGTACGGGTACGGGTATGTACTTACCC